ATATATATATAGCTAGTTTCGCTCGCACGTTTCGATCCTTTACATCTTCGCCTTCGGCTTTGGCTGGCGGAGGATTTCGCGTCGTTGATCGTCTGCTGCGTCGTCGCGTCGTCGAGGCGTTGTCATGTCGTCGTGCTTTCTGCGTAGTCAAGCCTTCGCGCTGCAGCTTCTTAGTGGTTGATCGACTGCTCCGCCACAGTTTCTCTGCTCGACTGCTCCCGCACAGGTTGCGCCAATTTGCTGCAGTGCTTTTGTGAAGCACCCTAATGGCCTCAGGGTTTTCCTACGCTGTCGTCGTCGTCGGTGATAATCCCGTCAAACCCTCCTATGCTACAGTGGTCCACAAACGCAGTTCCGCTTTCCATCTCGCAGATAGTCTGGTATTCCCGCAGATATACCACGATTCTGTTGCTGGAAATGGTGATTGCAATCTCATCAAAAAAATAGAGAAAAAAGAGGGCAAACCAACAATATTCTTCTCCGACGCTGAAATTTCAACTCGTGCAGAAAATACAAATTTACACTAGTTGGAAAGTTCCAATTAGGATGCCTTAAGATGAAGATTATCAGAAAGGTTTTTGAAGATTTCAAACTGGCTGGGGATTGTCAAGTGGATCAGTTCGACGGAAGACATATTATGATACAACTGAGTATAAAAGAAGATTACACGAGGATTTTCTCAAAAAAATTCATTACAATCGAGGGCAAACATATAAAATTGCTCAAATCAACCCCTAATTTTGATCTCAGTGAAGAACCTCTAATTGCACCTATCTGGTTCTCATTACCTGAACTCAAATTTTAATTCTTTGACTTACCTATCTTATATGCAATTGGGACAATCCTAGAAAAACTTTTAAAACTATCCTAGAAAAACTTTTGCAGGTAGACTTACCTACAGTTCATTTCTCAAGGCCCTCTATTGCAATGATTTTGATTGAAAGAGATATTACACTACAAGATGTAGAAGAAGTCTGGCTTGGATCTACTCACAAAGGTTATTGGCAAAAAATTATTACGTAACAAAAACCTTACTACTACAAACACTGCAAGATGTTTGTCACCCGCAGGAGAAATATTTCAAATTGCACCCACAGTTGAGAATCAATAGTCAAAAGCAGGAACACACTATTAGTGCACCCCATGTGCCTGAACGCGATCTCAGCAAACCTGATGACAACCAGTCTGAGGAGGGAATCACCACAAGACAGGAGTTGGTGTCTGCCCCTAGGATTCCTTCTCCTGACCATGCTACAATGGATAATGTTCGAACCGAAAATCAGGATAGTCATGCAGCTCTTATTTAGGAAGCATAAGATGCTGAGATAACAATCCACACTTCAGATACACTGGAACCTATCACGGTGACAACGACTGTATTTCCTTCTATTGCGGTTCTAACATCAAATCAGACTGAGAATCACATGAGTCAGTTTTCAGATGAAGAATAACATGTTTACACATCTCAGCGGAAGAAGGCTGGGGGCACACTCCAACTAGGAAACTTAATACTTAATAGATGATACTTTAATGATACTTTAATTACTCCTGACAATGACACGACTCTTCAAATTTTGTTATCTGGCTCCGCTCCTAAAACTAGAGGAAGAGGCATAACTAAACTGACTCGTCCCTAGCTCTTTATTTTCTGCATGTCTTTAATTTGTTTTATTTTTCGTTGGGTTTTTACTGTACTTGTATCGTATAGGCAGGCTGCATCTTTTGGGGTCTCTTATACAACCTTTATGTATCCTTTATATTTCGATAAAATCAACCATTGGGCTTTTCATAAATATATATATATATATATATAGAGATGCCAAAGAGATGCCAAAGAGCTCTTATATATTTATCAATTTAACATCTAAAA